GATGCGACATTAACAAGAAATAGCAGGACGCGACGGCAAGACGCGACGAAATTAGCTTAGCATGAACTCAATAAGAAAGGAGGCGACGGCACGACGCGACGGCACGACGTTGTGCCGTCGCGTCGTGGCGTCGGAGCAACGGTATGACGCCACGACGCCAAAATGGCGGGAATAGAACACCATACAGTTGTGACTTACTACCAGTGCCTCAAGTGTACAAGCCAGGTCACCGAGTCCATCATTTTCATTTCACCGGACACCAAACATGACCACAATGCTGTCCATGACTTTATGGATCTGGTGGTACTGCATCTTCGACAGAAGCGGGGGATAGATATTGGCATGATGGTTCGTTTCTCTGATGGATGCGCTAGTCAGTACAAGTCCCGTGGGCCCATTGCAGATATCGCGAAATCTCAAGAAAACTACCAGTTCCCACTCTCTCACAATTATTTCGGTTCACGACACGGGAAGGGGCCAGCTGACGGTGAAGCTGCAGTGATAAAATCTCACGCAACTAATGCCGTTAAGAGTGGTACTGCTGTAATCCGGGATGCACGTGCTCTCTATGAGCACTGTACAAAGAACTTGGAGAAAGAACCCACTGAGAACAACTGCCTCCACTTCAGAACATCTTTTTACTTTGTTGAAGAAGTCATACGAGACAGAGCTGAAAGCCAAATCAAAACCATTCCAGGGACACGCGCCATGCATAGCATTCTTTCTCTGAAGAATCAAGACCAGGTGAAGAAACGTGACCTGAGCTGTTTCTGCTCTGCATGCAAAGACGGGACTCTTCAAGGATGTGAGAATGCAGAGTTCGTTGAAGACTGGCAGACGATTGGCCTGAAAAAGTTGATGACATCACTGGTAAGAAAACAATGCTCTTGCAAATCAAGGCCCTTTTCTGGGCATTTTTTGGTCTAATTTCATGGCAAAGGCATAAAGAGGTTTTTTTGTTAAAAGTACAATGTAGATCTATGCATCTTATGGGCTCTTCATATATGTTTTTCATATTTACTATTTCTGACACAGCTTTCTCCAATCCTGATGAACCAACAGCAGTGACACAGATCCAGCCACCACCAGTGGGATGGAGAGGACGGGCGAGGTGGATGAAGCCGTTTGTCTAATGCAGCAGTGAGTTATAACTGGTTTTCTTAACATGTACATTGTTGACCAACTATTCTTGTCTTCTTATTGAATCTGTACAGTGACTGCATTCCAATTTTGGGGTTTTTTCTGATAAATCAGGTAGTGTTCATTTGTGGTACTGTTCGTCGTTTCAATTCTTCACAGGAAACAGACAACTTGCAATGATGGTGACTATGTTGCTTTGACTTTGTCCAAGATTGCATAAAGAGGAAACCGTGAAGACTCTGCAGTTGCTTACATAGCTTGTGTAAGTAGATCACACACTTTGTATTTTAATTGGGTTTGTTGTGCCTTTACAAAATTCTTAGCACTGTGTACTTACTGATTTCCTTCAACATAATGAAATGCTTCAAAAGATTGAGCTCGTTCGTTTTTCACAGTCTACTGAGAATTGTTGGGTCAGAGCAAAAAACAAATCCAACTAGACCAGCTTTATTCTGTTTTCTTTCACTTTTGGAGTTGTCTCATGTTCATGTACTTAATTTAATTTAATTGCAGGTTGAAAAGAAGCTTGCCGGTGATTTCATACTGTTGAAGTTTATGGAGCGAGTTGGTACAACGGGTTGTTCCTTCATTTGGCCAGCAGGGGCAAAGGGCAGTCAGCTGTACACGTATTCAGTGGAAGAAGTCCTGTGCAAACTTCATCCTCCTGAAGTTGTAATCAATCGGCGCTCTATCCAGTATGTTTTTGCTCCTGAGGACATTGACTCGATTAATGCCTCTATTTCTAGTAAAATCACCCTGAAATAAATCCTTTGTAAGTGGAAATGAATGTGGGGTGGAAATATTTCATTTCCGAGTTACATTATATTTGACACTTGGATCAAGATTTCCATTTATCATAAAGGATGAGGAAACAGTTGTTTGGATTTATCTACAAATTGAAAATGATACCTGCCTCTTGGAAAATTTATACAGTTTCCTTGGAATCTGAAATATTTGTTTTCATTTTAAGCATTTTTCTGATTAACTTTGCAATCATCATGCCCATTATGTTACACAATGGTGATGTCGACATTAAAGCCTTGTTAAACTGCAAAGTACTCCAATTCTTAAGAACATCAGTAAATCTGACATTTGTTTGCTGCAACAGTTAAAGCCCCATCTGTAAAACATACCTAGTGTGACTAAAAGTAGAAGAGCAGGTCGAATTTTGAAGTTCCAGGGAGTACATTTAACCTTAATTTGTTCATAGACCTTTCAGAAAGGAGCCACCTATCAAGTACGTACACCTGTAGGATGGGATGTGTACAGTATCTCTGACACCCCTGTTCCTTTGTGCATATGAACTTTGATAATGACCCCAAACAGCATGAAATATTTTGATCTTGTTTTAATGAAATGACATGTATTGGTTTTGAGTGTGTGTTTATAAGAATGGCTTCTGGAAATGTGTTTTCAGTCAGATTCTGATTTCTTTCATGCGTAACACGGTAGTGTTGTACATGTACATGTATTCAAGTCCTTTTCCGAGTCACACAAAAGTAGTAAAATACAAAGTGGTACAGTTAAATCAAATCTAAGTAACAAGACAGTGAAATTTGAGCAAATTGATTTTTAAGAAGGAATAACAGTAAGAATGTTTGGAAAGACGTTTTAGAAATTAAGCAAAAGGACTTGGACCCAAGTCATTTTTCAAAATCTTGTCCATTTTTAGTACACTCAAAGTTCCAAACACTCACACTACTGTTTTCTTTAATAGATAATGTACTTTGACTTCACTGTCTTGTTACTTGGACTTGATTTTAACTGTACCACTTTGCATGTCACCATTTTTGTGTTACCCTGTCACCATTTTTCCATTTGACTCGGAAAAGGACTCGAATACAACACTGTAACGTGGACACCAACATATTTGGTGTCCCAGTTATGCGCGACAGGCTACAAAAATGCACAGATATAATTAAAACTAGGTCAGATGACCACTCTTGTGCCTTACATACTGACATGACACAACAAGTGAAATATTAAAGCTAAAGAATTTGTTGCAGG